CTCAGCCATATTGTAAAACTGGCTGGCTCGCCATATTGTAAGGAGAAACTGTCTTTACTCAGTTTTATTGTTAAGAAGACTCAAAGGTTGTTTTCATCGATAAACTGCCGATAATATCTGAGTGTCTGTGTTTCAGTTCAATGAGGAAACCAGTTTGACGATTAAAAGTTTTAATTCTTCAAATTAAACTAATGATTTTGAAATTGACAAACAGAAAATGACAATCAAATTGACAACTTTGTGGGACAATCTTTAACAGTTGATATGCTGTTCTTGCTCAAATAGACCTTCTGGTGAATTTATGAAGATTGAGAATGTTGTGAGTTGTGAGAGTGATATGATGTGATTATGGATGCGTGTGGGTGCAAAGTGTGGTGAGAATTGAACATGAGGTGATTTTGCTTCAGGAAGAAACAGGTGTCTGAGTGAAAAGTGATGGTTTGAATAAACTTAGGTTTAGTTGGAAAAGATGCATCCAAACGCTAAACACCGTGTTCTGTCTCACCGAACTCTTGTGGACCCTCTTTCGGATCCGGGCCGTGGAGGATGTTGTGGTTCATCCAGATGACACTCAACGGCTGACAGGGAAGACGTAGGTGTCGAACGGAACCGGTCCAGAGTTGCCCTCGGTACACGTTGATGGTAAAGCGTTTTATCGATGCGCTTTCTTAAGTTAATTCACTCAGAAATCAAAAGACTCGGTAATGAGTCTGCGTTAGAAGTCGCGATTCAGCTATTCTGCCTGGCTTGGCAGAAACAGCGTGAAAGGGGGGAAGAACGAGCCAACAGGCTCTGCCCCCCCTTTGGTTTTCAGGTCTGTTCTCTTTCGTTGTCCAACACGAACTGGAATCATAAGACTGAAACTTACCAAAAACCTTTCTCTTCTCAAAGCAAACGTGTGCGTCATCAAATGTGTCTGGAGTTTACTGTGGGAAGATGTGTGTGGGTGTGTGTGAATGTTTGTGTGTGAAGGTCAGCAACAAACATCCTCAACACTATCTAATTATGGATTCATTAAGCCATTATAATTACCCCAAAGCATAAGAACCATTCATTTGATTAAACACATTTATAATGAGCAAAATGATAATGGTTACTTTAACATTAAAATCAAGAAAAAGAAGTTTAAACTTTATGTTTTGACTTGGTCTGGGTACAACTCATGGAAACACATCTTCTGGTAGACTGCAGGTGGCTGATGTTATGGTTTCCTCCCAGACTCGCTGCCGTTCAGGTCTTAATCTGTGGGTGAAAGTTCTCAATGACCCAGCTTTGACCCAGCTGCGTCCAACACCACCATTGTGACAGAAAACCCATATTTCCTCACGTTACAATTTTAATAAGTAATATGACTTTAATCTAGCTGCACTAGACATGCTGACTACATGTAATGTAAATGCACGACACATTGCTTTTACTCATCCAATCAGAACCATCCTTTCTGAAGCGTGGCATAGTCTCTGTGGTGTTTATAAATCTGCCAACTTTGATTCGACCAGAAATCAAAACATCCAGATTAATAAAACCAGTCCCCACGCCATCTTAGGCCAGTTCACCGCATTCTTAAAAAAGTATTGGACCGGCCACCCGGACTTCCTTTTAAGCCAAGAGCCAACAAGCCTGATGAAATCTGTTGCATTTTACCAACCAAGCAACGGTTCCTTTCAGAATAAAAGCTGAACTCACAGACCCAAAGGGGGTCCATCTGACGCTGTCAACCAACTGTCGCTTTTTACCTGGAGACAATCCAAAGACTAGTCTGTCGTACTGCTGACGCTGTTTCATCGGCTCCGGTACCGAAAGGGGGGTTCGAGGACCTGACATTCTAGATCTGTACGGAGGTCTCCTCATAAGGGTATGTGTGGAGCGACAATATGGCGTCTCATGTGTTTATGAAACTCCGATCATGGCTAAAAGTAAAACATCACAACATCATTCAGACTTGCTTCCCCGGATATGAGAGTTCTGATTACAACATCACTCACACATACACCATTCATCTCACGTCTCATTCACACCAAGATCCATTCATTCACTTAGAATTTAGAGTTAGTCTTGTTTAAAATTGTTTAGAAATAAATCTTCTTAAACGTTTTAAAGGTGACTCTCTCTTCTCTTGTCTCTCAGTTAATACGAAGTGTTACATAATCCCTGCAATAAAAAGTTCCAATCTTCTGGTTAAAATAACCCAAAGGTCCACATGATTGATTTCATATTCATTATGGAATCTCATGTCTTATGGTCCATTAATTAGATGTAAATTAACCCCTTACAGGACCGAGCAGAGAGAATTGAGCCATGAAGCTTTTAGCTCCTCCCACACATTGCACTCCCCGGGTTACTGTGACCCAAATGTAAACATCCTTGTTGCCATTATGTAACTGGGAGGACCTTGAAAGTGAATTGTTGTAGATTAACACCCTTAAAAGGTTCATTGCAATCTGCTGTTTTTTCACAGTTGAAACTTTGGAACCTATTAGCTGCCTCTAGAGTCTCAAAGGCCCAAAACACCATAGGACTCTTTCCTTAACTTGTCAGCATCCCTAACCATCAGTGTCCACCAGCAGGTTCAGGGGTTGCCACCATAACAGCCACCGAACTACAGGGAGTGCAGAATTATTAGGCAAGTTGTATTTTTGAGGAATAATTTTAATATTGAACAACCATGTTCCCAATGAACCCAAATAACTCATTAATATCAAAGCTGAATGTTCTTGGAAGTAGTTTTTAGTTTGTTTGTAGTTTTAGCTATTTTAGGGGGATATCTGTGTGTGCAGGTGACTATTACTGTGCATAATTATTAGGCAGCTTAACAAAAAACAAATATATACCCATTTCAATTATTTATTTTTACCAGTGAAACCAATATAACATCTCCACATTCACAAATATACATTTCTGACATTCAAAAACAATACAAAAACAAATCAGTGACCAATATAGCCACCTTTCTTTGCAAGGACACTCAAAAACCTGCCATCCATGGATTCTGTCAGTGTTTTGATGTGTTCACAATCAACATTGCGTGCAGCAGCAACCACAGCCTCCCAGACACTGTTCAGAGAGGTGTATTGTTTTCCCTCCTTGTAAATCTCACATTTGATGATGGACCACAGGTTCTCAATGGGGTTCAGATCAGGTGAATAAGGAGGCCATGTCATTAGTTTTTCTTCTTTTATACCCTTTCTTGCCAGCCACGCTGTGGAGTACTTGGACGCGTGTGATGGAGCATTGTCCTGCATGAAAATCATGTTTTTCTTGAAGGATGCAGACTTCTTCCTGTACCACTGCTTGAAGAAGGTGTCTTCCAGAAACTGGCAGTAGGACTGGGAGTTGAGCTTGACTCCATCCTCAACCAGAAAAGGCCCCACAAGCTCATCTTTGATGATACCAGCCCAAACAGTGCTCCACCTCCACCTTGCTGGCGTCTGAATGGGACTGGAGCTCTCTGCCCTTTACCAATCCAGCCACGGGCCCATCTATCTGGCCCATCAAGACTCACTCTCATTTCATCAGTCCATAAAACCTTAAAAAAATCAATCTTGAGATATTTCTTGGCCCAGTCTTGACGTTTCAGCTTGTGTGTCTTGTTCAGTGGTGGTCGTCTTTCATCCTCTCTTACCGTGGCCACGTCTCTGAGTATTGCACACCTTGTGCTTTTGGGCACTCCAGTGATGTTGCAGCTCTGAAATATGGCCAAACTGGTGGCAAGTGGCATCTTGGCAGCTGCATGCTTGACTTTTCTCCGTTCATGGGCAGTTATTTTGCGCCTTGGTTTGTCCACACGCTTCTTGCGACCCTGTTGACTATTTTGAATGAAACGCTTGATTGTTCGATGATCACGCTTCAGAAGCTTTGCAATTTTAAGACTGCTGCATCCCTCTGCAAGATATCTCACTATTTTTGACTTTTCTGAGCCTGTCAAGTCCTTCTTTTGACCCATTTTGCCAAAGGAAAGGAAGTTGCCTAATAATTATGCACACCTGATATAGGGTGTTGATGTCATTAGACCACACCCCTTCTCATTACAGAGATGCACATCACCTAATATGCTTAATTGGTAGTAGGCTTTCGAGCCTATACAGCTTGGAGTAAGACAACATGCATGAAGAGGATGATGTGGACAAAATACTCATTTGCCTAATAATTCTTTACTCCCTGTAACAGGCACAATTCACTGGTGATTTTTTTTTTTTACTTTGAGCTAGAGCTTGTCGTGTTAGAAACTTGACCCGTTTCATATTTTACACCACTCTGCTGCCCTCTTCTGGCCAGATACTACACTTAAAGTAGCTTTCCTGAGTTTTACCCTTTCAGAAATAATTTGAGATTTTTCAGAAATCCATAAAAGTGATTGTCTCACTCTCATCATGTACTGTGATATAATGTAAGCAATACGCCTTTTTACTAAGCACGCCCCCGGCCCCCGCAGAGCTCCGTGCAATAGGAAACTGAGCACCGACCAGAACTAACCAATGGCATTAGACTACCGCTTACGTGCTTCAAATTTAAGGATGTGCCTCAGCTAATGCAGAGTTGATGAACTTTTCACGGACAAGTATGTGTTTAAAATGTTTTAGCTCTGTTTGTCGGCTACAGAAGCACATTCAGAAACAAGAAACGTGAAGTCGCCATCTGAAATAAACGGATCGACTATGTGATATGCTTGTCAGCCACTAGATGGTGCCATTGGATAAGAGAAATACCCTGGGAAGATACTTTGAACCTACCCCCTCCACAGGTTTGTGGAGGGGGTAGGTTTTCTAGGGGGCTCTCTTATACATGCATTAAGGCTTTCTCCCTTTAAGACAGGTAGAGGGGTGCCCTAGTGCCACTAATGGATGAACCACCACTAGCCCGCCCAAAATACAAAATAGGCCTAATGACATGCTTCCATGCACAGGTAATAATCAACCTTAATACAACGATAACAGGCAGATGCATACATGAATGCAAAAATAAACAAAAAAATTTTTTTTTGCATTAATATTTTTTGCAAATATTTTTCTCATTAAGACATGCTTTATTTTGAAAATTATGTAGCATTTATGCAATGTTTACATGAAATATTTGTAGAAGAAACAGTGATCACTTTTATCATGGGAAAACATAAAGTTGTGAATGTATTTTATTTCCTTCTTCTACACAGAGAAATGTTGGTGAAATGGGTAAATCCTGGACAGGACCCCAATTCAGAGAAACAATGAGTTAGCAGAATATTTATAGGAAACTGAAGTGATAGATTTGGTCACTTTGTTAGGTTCCAAAGAGTCTTGATAAATACGAAAAATGAAACATGATAAAACAAATCATGTCCTTTTAGTGTGTGTGACTTATTAATGTGTGTGAAGCTACATCCTGTTAACTGAAGAATTATGTCATCCAGCCTCCAAACACCAGAAACCGAACTCTGACATTGCTTCACTGTTTCCCCACATATAAAGGTCTTTCTGGGTTTATTAAACACTTTAACTTTAAACTAAGTGTTTAAGAAAAACAATGCCGCAAAAGGTATCAGAAAGTTTTTCTGTGGTTCATAAAAAGTTATTAAACCAACTGATTATGAATAAAATATAATAGCAAATTTTTAATCCAGTGTTTTGATTCATTTGCTGTTTTCTCATATTCCTGAGTCAGTTCCCATGTTTAGTGTCCATCTCCAGCAGTCAAGAGACGAGGGACACTCTGGACAGGTCTCCAGTCTGAGTCAAATGAGACACAAAACCAGTCCCATACTCTCTCACATCAGACATCTGGGTTTCTAACCTTCATCCTTCTTGCTGCAAGGCAACAGCGCCACCATGCAGTCAGCGCTTTATCTTTGTTGGCCTTGTAGCAGCAAGCAGGGCAGGACTTAGATTAAAACACTAAATTAAGATTAAATAACCTCAAAGCTCTAAATTCACACTTAGTCGTCGTATTCAACAACTACCTGCATCAAATCTTCATTTAATGTGAAATAATTATTGAGAGTGAATAATCTAGAAAATTAAAACTTATTTCAAACACCTGACTTGTTCTCCCGGTCAGTAAAAGACATGACTTAAATGTTAGTTTTCTACTGAGCGGCTAAATTAATGCAGCTAAAGGGATAATCGGGACACTTAAAGTGTGTTTCTCTAGTTGTAAGTTCTCTGTTCTTAGCAATAGTATTGATGAGCTAACGGCTAGTATAACACAGCCAAGACCAAGAACAGCTTCCATCTCTACAGAGACACTCTTCCTGGTGCGTAGTTAACTCAGGTGAGTTTATGGCAACAGAGGACAGAGGGAGAGAAAGAACATGACAAAGAAAGAGATAAAAGGCAGATGGGTAATAACAATAATAACTGACATTTTGTTCTGAATTATTACTTAAAACAGGAACACACTTCAAAATGTTGAAATATCCCTTTAAAGGCCGAAGGAGAGACCGGGCAGAGCCTCAGCAGCTGAGCTCCACCATCCTCTCGGGCCGGGCTGACTGGCAGGAGGCCGGGGGGGTGAAGACGTTGGGGTCGCTGATGCCCAGCTGCAGGTTGAGGAAGCGGGTGGAGGTGGTGACGCTGCTGTTCCTGGTGTAAGTCTCCTGTACCGGGTAGCAGTCCTTCAGGGTGTAAACACCCACCCAGGTCTCATCTGGTAGGAAGAAAGGCAGATTTTACATCTTTGTCCTTCAGTCTTTGTGTATTTACAGCTCTGGATTCTAGAGCAAAACTAATAACTCGTCACATTTTCAATATTAACCCAGGCTGCTGCACAGCGACAGACTTTCAGGATGAAACTCTGGGAAAAGAGGACATTTAGTCTTTAAGGAGTGCAGGTTTAACACATCTGGGGACGCTGTAGCAGCAGCCTGGAGACAAACCCTGAGACATAGCAGCATTTTGACTTTTCTCTCTATAAAGAATTCAGAATGTTGTCTCGTTTATTTAAAAAATGTAAAGCAGTGGGTGTGAGCTCCTTTGGGGCCTGCAAATCTAGTTAAGAATGTCTGTGTGAAAATATCTACTTATAAAATACAATATGAGGATAAATTAATTCAGTTTGAATCTCTGAGCTGCTTCCTCCTGATTGGTTTACTGGTTTAGGTATCACCCTTCTGAAACTAAAAGTAAATCAGATTATTTTAATGAGCAGCGATTCCATTTTATTATGAACTATAACAGCATTTATTTATGTTTCATTTAGCATGTGACCAACGTTTACAAAGTATTATCAGTTTAAAAAATCAGCTGACTCAGAAATTGATAACAGAGGTTGTTGCATGAAATGTCTCCCTCTGCTGGCCAGAGACGAGAATGGAAGTAACCTCTGAATGTTTGGGCTGAATACTATGATAGAATACCGGGTTTGTAAGTAGAAGCTTTTGGCTAATAAAAAGTCACCTTTTCCTTAATAGTCTCTAAAACTTAACACACAATAACTTTAACTTTATTATATGGTCAAATAAGTGAAGAAACATATATATATTCTTCTTATTTTCATGATTTTCCGTAAGTCTGCTATTTTCTGAATAAACAAGAATTTATTCTTAGGATTATTGTTTTGTTGATATCAAACATACTGGGTTTTTTTTATGTTTATTTATTTGGCAGATGCTTTTATCCAAAGCGACTTACAATTTATAACCTGTAGGGCATGTTGTGATCTGTGGGGGAAACCGGAGTACCCGGAGGAAACCCACGCATGCATGGGGAGAACACGCAACTCCACGCAGAAAGGCCGCAGCCGAGTTTCGAACCTGCAACCTTCATGCTGCGAGGCAACAGTGCTAACCACTGCGCCACCATGCAGCATATCTCAGAATCCTCCTAAAAACAAAGGAAACTCATATGGCTCACGTCTGATGTAAATCTAAAGTCTGCTCAGAATTAATCCAAATTTAAAGTTTTTTTCAATCCTTGTACACGTTTCCATAAACATGCTTCATCATGTGCTATTCCCATCTCTTGTGCAGCCTTTAGTTTTGTTTTAAACCCAAGGAAAGAATCCGTCTTACGCTGGCGTGCTGGTTTCCTGTCTGACCACTCCTGAACCTCCACTTCGTCCCCGGGACCACCGATGAAGTACTGCTCTTCAAATGTGGAGTTAGCTGGGATGTCGAAGGGATCCCAGGCTTCAGTCAAAGAGATCTTTGAGCATTCTTTTGTTTTCTGGTCGATCTGGAACATCAGCATGCTCTGATACAGGTAGATGTACTCAAAAAACCTGCAGCAGGAGGAACAAGGAGAGGCTGTTTATTATCAAATAAATGATCATATGCATACTTAATCTGACTGTTAAATAAATAAGTGGGCCGTTATTTCATGAGTGCAGAGTTATCAGCCCACGTTTGATGGTTCCTGTTCTTTGAACGTGTCAAACTAAAAAGCTGATTAACAGTTTTGTTTTGTCAACCAGACTGAATTTCACAATTGCTGAAACCTCACACAGACTTTGTGCTCGTTTATTCTTTAAGTAAACAACAAATCCAATGTAATCCAGCTCACAGAGCAGATTAAAAACAGCCTACTGGCGCAAAAATACATAGAAGGTAAAGAAAATAATCATTAAGATTAAAAAAAAAAAAACTCCTTATACAAAAAAGATTAAATGTTTATAACACTATTTAATTAATTGTTATTAATCAGTCATAATTAACACCATTATTATTAAAGGTTATTTATTTATCACTACTAATGTGTCAAATTTTTGTATTTATTTCATTAATAGAGGCAGAACATCAGTTTTTGAGAAAATGAAAGATTCCTATTACCTAAAGTAATATAGGTAATTTAAGAGCCTATGTACAGTTGTATAAAGTTAGATAATTTATTATTTTAAAATGAGAGTAAACCAGATTATGTTTACTTTATTTAAGGTGGTAGATGATGGTCTTTGTGATTTTAATCTTTAATTTAATCACTTAAACTTTTATTTCCTTTTAGCCTAATTCTAATGATCTCCGATTAAATAATAAGATGTTAGTTTACACACAC